GTTTGAATTTATGCACAAAGCTACACAATGGACTATCTGTGCTTTGTCCACCACGGGTATCGAATCTCGGTTTCTAGCATTGTAATTCCACAGACATGCCGCTGTGCCACTGGGGGCACTTCTTTTAGGGCTTAATGTTTTGAAATACACATATATATATATATATCTAAACAAATATATTAGTTTCCTAAGAAGCAAAGAGATTTCAGGGTGCTGCAGATATTTGAATATCTTTATAATTGTTAAGTGAGTGACTTTAAAGAACTTATTGGAAAGTGTATGCCAATAGTCTCTATTAAAAAGATAAGAAGTGGGTAGAATAGGAGACAATCTTATTTATGATATGGCGACGTTCGGAAAGTAAGTAGCAGTTATATTGTTACTGCCCATTTTTATAACTGAAATGACATTTTCTAAGCCATAAGAACGTTTATAAAGCACTGAGAATATGTACCGAAATTTATCTTCATATAATAGGTCTAGCGTTAAATTTACAGCAGAACAAAAGACAAAATAAACCATCTCTAATGACCAATAGATGGCTCTGCACTACTTCTACGAACAAAAAGTTATTACGCCGTAAGAAAAAATTTGATATAATACACAGTCATCCGTTATGATGTATAAACGTAGCTAGAAATGCTAATGAAGTTTAAACTCTTTATTCATCCGCAACTTGTGTGTTACCTGTTGCTCGAAACTATCTAACTGATGTATTCAGAATTAGATTTACAAAGAAAAATATACGTTTACGAAACGAATTAAAACACTTAAATACGGCAGGGTGTATGGACGTATATTATTCGGTATCAGTTATAGAATTATATATGACCTATATAGTGGTAACAGAAATACATAAAAGTAAATACAACATTTACATGATTTATATCAAAGAATACCTTCACGTTTTTTGTGTTGAGTGATACAAACCCATGCGAAAATTGAGGTTAAACTTCTTCTTTTTCAAGACTCCTTGCCAGTAAATTCTTAAATAGAATTTATTGTTTCTTTTTCTTTTACAAATTACGACGTGGCGAGTTTTACGTTTGAAGAAAAAATACGATATATATTATTAACAGATTGCTGTATTACAAAATAAAATAAGAATATAAGAACAGAAGGAAAGCTGGTATGTCATAATACCACATCTATTGTGGTATCATTAAAAAGAAGTAAGCTTGCTACCTTATGGATCTTTTTTAATCAATAAACTGGAATTCCTTCATAAATTCAGAATCAAGAACGTATAACGGATAAAAGAAACATTAATATATATATTTTTAATATCACATTATTGGATCGTATAAGTACAAGACTTTCCGCCTCCTCTATTGCAATCAACGACATTTTTCAAAATGTTGCGCAATGCGACACAAGGGCTTTCTGAGCAAAGTCATCCATAATTTTGGACCGACAAATTATAGGAAAGGCAGCTAGTCAACAGCACCCACTGATAACTTTTGGGTTATGCTTTTCTAGATCAGCTTTTCCTAAAGTGGGAGCTGCGGCCTCCCTGGGGACCGCTAAAAAATGAGTAAAAAACAAATATGCGGTATTAATGTTAATTCTAAATAAACAATAAGCTGATAAACGTTATGTTGAATTAATTAAATGATACAGTATGTCCAAAGGAGATGTTATTGTTTTTACTACGGCTCTGTTTTTCAATCACCATGCTAAAGTTATAGGGTTGGGGGGGGGGGGCTCAAAATTATGTTTTTCACATGAAGGGAGTCTCAAACTAAAAAAGTTTCGGAACCACTGGTCTAGATGAATAGTGAGGTCTGAACGTTATTCTTATATATAGACCATTAATGACCCCAAAGTACGAACGCCGTTCAGCGACAAGGGGATGTGAACCACAAATCCTCAAATTCACAGTCTGAGCACATTAACTACCAGGTCACGCCCTGCATCAAGCATCGAGTCTCACCTGTATACACGCTCCTGTGTGAGAGAAGACTTCCTGGAAGTGTATTGGAGAACAACTATTTCTATGGTTTTATTTAGCACTGAATCCTATTTACATTTTCCAAACCTCAGAACAGAAACGGTACCTATTTCACTGAAAGTAATATCAATAGATTCTAATTCTCCGTGCGGTAAGTCTTCGGATTTACAACGCTAAAACCAGAGGTACGATTCCCCTCGGTGGACACAGCAGATAGCCCTAAATCTTAGATAATACTAATTATTCGTAGGGAATTAAGCCTATCTATGGTTAAAAGTAATAATTTATCAATTATTACCACGACAGTAATATTTATCAATAATTATCAACGAATATCACGAAAGTAATAGTTTATTAATAATTACCAACGACTACCACGAAAGCAATAGTTTATTATCAATAATTATCAACGATTACCACGAAAATAATAGTTTATTATCAATAATTATCAACGATTACCACGAAAATAATAGTTTATTATCAATAATTATCAACGATTACCACGAAAATAATAGTTTATCAATAATTATCAACGATTACCACGAAAATAATAGTTTATTATCAGTAATTATCAACGATTACCACGAAAATAATAGTTTATCAATAATTATCAACGATTACCACGAAAATAATAGTTTATCAATAATTATCAACGATTATCACGAAAGTAATAGTTTATCGATAATTATTAACGATTACCACGAAAGTAATGGTTTATAATAATTATCAACGATTACCACGAAAATAATAGTTTATCAATAATTATCAACGATTATCACGAAATAATAGTTTATCAATAATTATCAACGATTATCACGAAAGTAATAGTTTATTAATAATTATCAACGATTACCACGAAAATAATAGTTTATCAATAATTATCAACGATTATCACGAAAATAATAGTTTATCAATAATTATCAACGATTATCACGAAAGTAATAGTTTATCAATAATTATCAACGATTACCACGAAAGTAATAGTTTATCGATAATTATTAACGATTAACACGAAAGTAATAGTTTATCAATAATTATCAGTAATTTCAAATAGAAATAAGAATAAAGTAGCTCTTGATTTTACGACTCAGAAAATAACTCTTCATCTGTAGTTTGTGTCACAATACGCTTTTTTGTCTATGATTGCTGTCTTCCGACTGTTTGTTAAATGAAGCGACTCTATTTGAGTTATCTGTGTAGAAACATTTGGGAATATAAGAAAGCAAACGTATAGAAACAATCTATACACTTAGATTAACTCGTGTTATAGATGAAACACTAGATAAAACTGCAACAAATATATGTATCTATCTACTATAACATACTATTTCGAGTTACTTATCTCAAAGACTGAGCAAATTTTACCAGATAACCACCTGAATATTTTATTTTACAACTAAGATTTAAGTCTTTCTCATGTATTACCAATCCAAACTAGGTTTAACGCTTCCATTTCGACGTTGAGAAAAAAAAAGGAAATTCAGTTGTATAAAAGCGGTAAATAAACTAAAATAATTATTTAATTTACGGTTAACTACACGTAAATATTCTAAATACTTATCTATTACCTTTACATTACGTCATGTATTCCTATTGCATGCTTCTACACGAATAAAGTGCTTGGATTTGTTTTTTTATTTGAAAACATCTATGTCAAGGCTATTCTTTCATGGGAGGTTTTTTTTAATTACAAAGGTGGTATAAGAACTGGCAACTTTCACTGTCTTTTCAAGGCTGACCCACGCGGCGAGAATTATAGTTGTCATAGAAACCTATCCTCGAGCACGCCTTCTTCGTGATATACCATCAAACACAGCATCATAAGTTCATCCGCACTGTTTGTGCAAAAGTTACAAAATTAAAAGCTGTTTGTATACCTAACATAAAGGTTTAATGACAGAGCAGTGTAGAAGAATGTTGAATTTTTGTTATCTAACACAAGGGCTTACTGACAGAACAGTGTAGAAGCATGTTGAACTGCTTATTATCTTCTACAACATTCTGTCAGTAAGTTCTTATGTTAGAATGTTGAACTGTTTGTTATCTAACACAAGAGCTTACTGACAGAACAGAGTAGAAGCATGTTGAACTGTTATCTATCACAAGAGCTTACAGACAGAATGTTATAGAAGCATGTTCAACTGTTTGTTATCTATCATAAGAGCTTACTGACAGAATGTTGTAAAAGAATGTTCAACTGTTTGTTATCTATCATAAGAGCTTACTGACAGAATGTTGTAAAAGAATGTTCAACTGTTTGTTATCTAACATAAGAGCTTACTGACAGAACAGTGTAGAAGAATGTTGAACTGTTTGTTATCTATCACACGAGCTTACTGACAGAATGTTATAGAAGCATGTTCAACTGTTTGTTATCTATCATAAGAGCTTACAGACAGAATGTTGTAGAAGAATGTTGAACTGTTTGTTATCTAACTCAAGACTTTGCTCTCAGATTAGTGTAGAATATAGTATAACGAGTGATTACCTAGTGTAATGTTAAGAATTAAGACCCAAAAATAAATGTTATATTAAATACTGCGGCACAAAATGTGCAATATCAAAAATAAAACAAAATATATGTAATGCATGTGTTAAACATGGAAGCTTAAAAGTTTAGTACTGTTAAACATTAAAGTGCATAAAACGTAACGTTACACATCAGGGAAGTAAGAAATGTAACGTAATGTTAGACACTGAAGCAAACAATTTATCAGCTACCTGTGACAAATGATCTACCTTGATGTCTGTGTATGATAATTAATCTTATTTTCAAGCAACGTCTCTCCATCTGCAACTTATGTTTACCATCCACAAACGATCTTAACTTAGAGAAACATGTATATATTCCTAACGATAAATCAATATGAACCGCATTCACAAAATTTCTTGTAATCACGACAGAGAGATCTACATTTCTCTTTAACCTGATAACATTGACTACGTATACTAGTTGTTTCATATAGTTCGACAATATAAGAATAACGAAAGACTTACCCATCTTAAATTTTTTAGCTCATTTCTTTAAATGGTATTCAGAAAGATTTACCTGCCGTATTTGTCTCCGTCTTTAGTTGTATTCGGAATCTTCGTCTTCAACTATTTGTTTTCTTGTTTTCGTGTCATGCGTATGGTTCTGATAGCGCTTTTTTTCTCTCTTTTTTTTTTGTTCACAAGTGAGTGGTTGATTTGATATCAGGACAACTCTGTAGTCGGATCTTCGGATTGCACGGTATCACGAGATGCGAAGAGCGGAAGTTCAAACGAACAAACGTCGTCTTCTCTAACTCGGGAGAAAGTTTTGCCAGGTGAGAACGTTCATGCTTGACAACTTTCTGTCGTCTGTTTTATTCTCTTGACCATATTTTCTTCTACCTTACCTAGCATGTTTCGGGAACCAGTTTGACGGCGGCCAGTTGCCGTATATAGAGCCATTTGAGGGTCTCAGTTCAGCCCCACCTAGTTTTTATTTCGAATCAGCTCATTCGCCAAGTGGCGCTGCGTTCGCTTTTACCAATTTCAGCCCCACTAGAGACGTCTGTGGATGTAAGAGTTGGGTTGACTCACCCAACCATGAATATCTGGCGTGACTACTTGATTCAAGGGCTCTCTCAAGAAACTCAGAAACGCGTGTCGAAACGTTGCGAAACGGATTTTTAAGAAAGAAAAAGGTGTTTGAATAAATTCAATCAAAGCCGTGGTGGAGAATAATGTTTTTTTTTCAGAAATATGCGAATGTGTGCACGACTTCACACCTTCATGCACATCGTACACCTACACATAAATTTACTTATACGAACAGTTAGATACCTAGATAAACAGCTGTTTCTGACTGCATAACAATATTTACTAGGATTTCCTATTTTCTCCTTTCTAGAGTCATTAGACATGCTAGGGGCGTAGTAGGTGTTTTTTTTTTAGATTACTTGTTTGTTTGGAAGGTTTGAATTTCGCGCAAAGCTACACGAGGGCTATCTGCGCTAGCCGTCCCTAATTTAGCTGTGAAAGACTAAAGGGAAGGCAGCTAGTCATCACCGCCCACGGCCAACTCTTGGGCTACTCTTTTACCAACGAATAGTGGGATTGCTACTTTTTACTCTTATTGCTCAATACAGTATAAAATTAATAAAAGTGAGTGTAACAATTTTACATTTTTGTAGTAGTTCCAATTTGTGAAAATAGATGGCACTAAATATTACTATAAAAATCATTACGTCTGAAGAAAAGGTCGAAAAATTAGACCTAATAAAATTACCTTCTTGAGGATTTTCTTCATAACTGTTTATTCGTTTGTAGTTAAACACAAAATTACACAACGAGCTACCTGTGCTGCCCCACCACAGATATTGAAACCCGAATAATAGCGTTATAAGTCGGCAGACTTACCGCTGTGTCACTGGGGTCAAAAGTAATGATGCCATCATCACGCGGTATTCTCAGGTGGTCATCCTCTAAAGTACTAATCGGGCCTAACATTGTGTGTCTGCGGAGATTGGACAAGACCAAGATTTTTTCAATGTATTATGAACGATGGCGCTCCGTAGCTATGTCTGAAACTCGTTGTGGACAACAAATAACAGCCGAAACTGTTTTTTTTATTCGAATGAATATTATGATTTAAGAATATTAAGTTTAAAGCCGTTTCGCAGTAACGTGCATAGGACATTAAAAGGGCAGCGGCTCATTGCCAAAAAAGGGGCAATTTTCAAGCATCATAAGGCAAGTCTTGTTATTTAAGGGGTATTAGGGGAGAATATGGTTTTGTTTGTTTGTCTGTTTATTTTGAATTTCGCGCAAAGCTACACGAGGGCTATCTGCGCTAGCCGTCCCTCATTTAACAGTGTAAAACTAGAGGGAAGGCAGCTAGTCATCACCACCCACCGCCAACTCTTGGGCTACTCTTTTACCAACGAATAGTGGGATTGACCGCACATTATAACGCCCCCACGGCTGAAAGAGCGAGCATGCGAACCGCGACCCTCAGATTGCGAGTCGAGTGCCCTAACCACCTGGCCACGCCGGGTCGTGAGAATATGGGAACTATGGATTGCCTTTGGTACACATAGGTAGAGAGCCATGAGACATAGGTAGAGAGCCATGAGAAAGAAACAGATCCTCCTTTATTCCTATTTAATCGGTCTTACAAACATTTTTAAAATGTAAAACTAAACATTGAATTCTTGCGTATTAACACTTAATAGCATATCGCAATTATTTTTTGCTCTAAAGACCTACAAGATCATTCATTTTAAAGCTGAAATATTTTTTTCCCCTAATTAGCAGCAAACTAGGTGCGGAAAATGAGGCGTGTCTTTTAGTAGTGTGGATATTTTTGTTTTTACTGAAAAAAAAGGGTACTTTTGGGACATAAGAAAATGAAAGCAAGGGCTTCAGCCCACTCAGCCCCAGTGCACATAACTGACGTTCCAACTTATTCATCTTAAACATTGACTAACAATTAGTCTACCACTGGGAAAGTTGTGT